GCAAAAGTCGTCATGGGAGTATAAAAGGAAAGAAATAGACATAGAAGAAAGAATCCAGAAGCAAACACTCTCAAACAGAGAATGGGTAATTTCAATTTCTTCAATTAACTTTAATTATCCTTCTTTCAGTACTCGTGTACTTGCGCCCCTTAGAGGCATTCTGTTTAATTTCAATTGTAACTCTCATCAATAAGGCACCTCTTTTTGGGATTTTGTCTCAACAGGTTTGTAACTTACACAATCGTATGAATTTCCTTTTAATTGTTAGCGACTACCCGCGCGAAATAATTTCAAACTCGTTTAATTCCTCATTACAAACCCCAACCCTTCAAACTCGCCAAAAAATCAACATGGTGAATATAGCTCCTCACTGATAAATGAATCCACTGCCTCTTTGCCTCTCCCCAACTTGCAAGTAATTCGACATGTCCTCCAAGCTATATATTGTAATAAGAAACCACACTTTTTCTCCATCGTCATCATCATCATCTAGTTTCTAAATATTTTCGTTGGTGATAGGTATATAATAAATTTTGTTTACTCTACAGTCTGTTTTGAGTGATGCGAAATATCATTCATTATTATTATTTGACTAATCGCATATAAAATCCAATACTTTTTTTTTTTTGCTTTCAGTTATGATGTATGTCATGAATTTGATTAATCATGTATTGATTTTCTCTCGCATTTCAAGTTAATAATGTTCAAATTGAGCTAAGAAAATTAAGGGCATGTTCTCTTTACCATTTTCAAACTGTTTTCTGTTTTTAATTTTCCAAAACAGTGAAAACGCGTTCTCTTTCATAGTTTCGAAAACGCTTTTTTAAAAACAAGTTAAAAATTTATAAAGAAAACTCAATTCGTTTTGGGTGTTTTCTAAACAAATTTTCAAAATGCCAAAAAAAAACACATTTTCAATAATCTCAAAATTGATACTCAAAATACAAAATTGAAATACAAAGAGAACAATCCCTTAGGGGGCGTTCTCTTTGTGTTTCAGTTTTGTATTTTGAGTTTTGAATTCGTTTTGTATTTTGTGTTTTTAGTGTCTGTTTTGAAATTTCTGAAAATGCGTTCTTTTTGCCGTTCTGAGAAACTGTTTTCGAAAACGTAAAAATGGAAAACGCGTTTACTTTGAAATTTTGAGAATTTTTTTAAATGATATTTTATTAAAAAAAATCTGATTATTCAATAAATTTTAATGGTTTAATATTAATATGGTATTAAATAATATTTACATTTTGAAATTGGTGAATCTTGAAATAAAATATTTTTTTCTAGATATAAAAAATACAACCTAAATTAAATTTGGCAAGTCCTTGTTTTTGTCCTTGTACATAACTTGTTACAAAAATTAACTAGCACCAGGTTACAACCAAACCTAATCAAGTTGCAAAAAAAGGAGCACTAATCTCAAGTTGACATGGTAATAAATATTTTGAAATCAATCTTATCGAGGTCAGATATCCATATTGATGACATTTGGTGTCATATTCATTTGGTGCATGTTTGGTACTCAATATTTGAAAAAAATGGACAATATTATTAGCAATATTTCAGGTCATTTTTCTTCCTTAATACTTCCTATACTGTATTATTCTCGTACTACTAATATCCTTTCCAATGATTCAAAAAATATCTAAAGCTCATTTAATTAAATATATGTAAATTTTATGTTTTACCATCCTAAGCAAGAATGTGAATCAACGATGGTAAGGAATCTAATACTGAATTTGCTATTACAACTCTGCAATGCATTAATCCAATCCCAACTGATTTAATCATGAAACACTAGAGAAAGTTGCCTTTTCATTGGAAGCAAGCAAGTTCACCAGCTATAAACGAAATTCAGTAGTTCCCAAGTATAGATTGCTGTGTTCTAAAATGAACTACAAGAATTACTATTCTTAATTGAAGTCAAGAGTCATCATCAGCAACATCACTGATTGAATATTCAGCCGCATCACTGTCCAAATCTACAGCTGCAGTAGCAGCATCTTCAGAATCATCATCACTTAGAACATATGTAGCTTTCCTACTGTTAGCCCTCTGTGGTCTGGCTCTTGTAACCACCACTTGGTTACTCTCTTCTATACCGGTTGAAGTTGGAGACTCCTCTTCCTCCATTGTGGCCATTCTTTCCAGCACTGAACCACTTTTCTTGTTAAATGGAGATATCCTCGTTTTCCTTAGTTTTTTTCTCAGGGATCAAAGTCAGCTTTGCAGTCTGAAAGAAATATGTTAAACATAACATTATCTAGGCATATTAGAAAATTGATGAAAGAAGCTCAAGCTATTACAACATCTTCCGCTCTCCAGTTGTCTTTAAAGATTTTCGACAAATAATTTGAAAGACTAATCAAGACTATAAAGAAAAACATCAAATGTTTTTTCAATGAATTTGATGAAAACAAAGGTAGTCTGAATATATGTGAGAAATTGGGTTTAATTCAATCAATAATATCAAAGTGATTGAAACATTGTTTTTTCAGCAAACCGCCAACAGATGAGATCCAAGAATCCCTAGATTGTCATCTGAAAACCACATCTTACAATTCTTATAGTTTTAGACACTCCAGTCCAATTTGCCAACAAATCAGTATTTAACTTCTTTGAAAGATGAAACCATAGAATATTGTTACATTGGGAAGCTCTAAACCTGGTTCCATCATTTAGTATATTTATATATTTAGGTTTATTCATGTTATTTCATAATTATCTCAAATTTCTTGAATAAACTACACAGGTTAATCAACAAAGAATTCATAGTATGTATATATCCTTATAAAAACAATTGCTAATGAAACTTTGATCATAATGCGCTAAAGAGTTTGCAAATCATAAAATCTCGGTGAAGATTCTGTTAAAATAGTGTTGAGAAATTTACCAAAGCTGAAACCGTAATTAGCCATTAATGCCTTGTTGACAATGATGATCCCTACTGAATGAGTACATTGAACATCCATGCAGCTGCATCCAATGCCGCATTCTTATCAGCTATGCTCGAAGGTGCCATTTCCTTAGTTGCTTCTGTAACGACTGTCCAAGGGCGGAACTTTTACCCTGCAAGCACCAAAAATATATCCTCACACCTCTGCGTTGAATCACAGATTTTTACTCTAAATCTCCTGCACAATGATCACACAATCATTTGTCAACTAGAAAGTAATTTGCATTTGTGAAAAGTACACGTTTCCAATAAAAACTATTCACCAAAAAAAAAACCATACCCCATTTCCCAATATGTACACAAAACTTGTACAACAAATTCATATAAAATTTGAT